GATCAATGTCTTTTAAGAGTTGCCTTATCCAACAGGCCTCCATTGCACAATGACTTGCTGCCATATACTCTGCCTCCATTGTTGATCTTGCAATAGTAGGTTGTCTCTTGCAATTCCATGAAATGGCTCCCATTCCAATGAAGAATACATATCCCATTGTGGATCTTCTATCATTTACATCTCTAGCCCAATCCACATCACAATAACCTTGCAAGTCAATGTTCTTACCACCAAGGCATAATTTGAAGTCTTTTGTGCGTTTTAAGTACCTCAAAATCCTCTTTACTGTTTTCTAATGCATTGATTCAGCCTTAGACATGTGTTAGCTTACAACACTCACTGCATATGCAAGATCCACTCTTGTAGCCACCATTGCATACATGAATGAGCCTATTGCTGCTTTGTATGGAATACTTTGCATCTCACCTTCAACTTGTGCAAACTCCTCATCCGTGAGCTTCATCAACTTCAAATTTGCCTCCAAGGCTGTTCCAATGGGCTTGCACTCCTCCATGTTGAATCGTTTCAACACTTCTTCAATGTACTTTATTTAGCTCATTGTAATGGTCTTGTTACCACAATCTCTTACAAATTCCACTCCCAAGAAATAGTGCAATTCTCCCAAATCACTCATCTCATATTCCTTCTCTAATTTGGCCTTCATCAAATCCATCTTTTTCCATATTGTTAGCCAAGATGATCAAATCATCAACATAGAGGATTACAATCAACAAGAACTCTCTAAATTGTATCATTTATAATGAATGATCAGCTTCACTCCTTACAAATCCTTCATTGACAAAGAAGGTGTCAATTCGTTGGTACCATGCCCTTGGTGATTGTTTCAATCCATACAAGGATTTCTTCAATTTACAAACAAGATGTTCTTTGCCTTTTTGTACAAATCCTTGAGGTTGGTCCATATAGATGTCTTCTTGCAATTCTCCATTCAAAAAGGCCGTCTTCACATCCATTTGGTGTATTTTCAAATCCATTGTTGTCGCAATTGCTACAATGGTCCTTATGGTGGTGAATTTGGCAACGGGTGCATAAGTCTCATTGAAATCAATTCCAGCAACTTGTGAGTATCCTTTGGCAACTAATCTTGCCTTGTGCCTCACCACCACACCCATTATATCTCTTTTAGTCCTAAACACCCATTTACAACCAACACTAGATCGATTTGGTGGAAGAGGTGCCAATTTCCATGTACCATTGTCCATAAGAGATTGGTACTCTTCTTCCATAGCCTTCTCCTACTTGATTGCATCTTCACACTTCATAGTATCACACAAAGACAATGGATCAGAAAGAAGAGCAATATTTGCATTTTCTTCACTTACTTGAGGGAAGATGTGATCCTTCTACCATTCGCCACGTTGCCTTCTTTTTCTCAAAGGATATCTCCTTTCATTGATTGAAGAACATTCATCTTCTTCTTTTCCAACTCTTAAACCTTGTCGTTTCTCACTCAATGGTTGGAAGTCTTCATCATTGTCATCATCCCAATCTTCAACATCTTCATTTCTTTCATTGCTCGTCCTATCAATTATAAGAGCCTTCATCTTTTCAACCTTCTTTGGCTTTTCATCTTCATCATCTTCATTGTCTTCATCTTCTTGTTTCTTTGCTGAATTCAAAGATGTGTCCACAAACACACCATTACTCCCACTTGGACACATCTCCAAGTGCTCACAAGCACTCTTGTGCTCTAAAAACATAACATCATGACTTTTGATGATCTTCTTAGTTTCCAAGCACATTAGCCTATATGCCTTAGTACCTTCATAATAACCAAGAAACACACACTTCATACCTTTTGCATCAAGTTTGGACCTCATACAATCAGGTGTTTTTGCATATGCAGTGCAACCAAAGGTCCTCTTATGGAAAATGCAAGGTTGTCTATAACACCATGCTTCTTGTGATGTCATTGATGGAAGAGCACTTGTTGAACATCTATTTCTTGTATATACTGCATTCACCACAACTTCCGCCCAAAATTCATAGCTAAGGTTTTGAGCATGTAACATATTCCTTGCCATCTCTACAATGGTGCGATTTGCCCTTTCAGCAACACCATTTTGTTGTGGAGTGTACGGAGTTGTGGTTTGTCTAGCAATTCCTTCATTCTTCAAATAAACATCAAATTGCTTAGACATGTACTCACCTCCATTGTTTGTATGTAGCACCTTGATCTTACATTCACTTTGTTTTTCAACAAGTGCTTTGAAATCCTTAAACCTCCAAAAGCATTCACTCTTGGCTTTAAGAATATAGATCCAAATCTTTCTTAAATAATCATCAATGAAAGTGAGGAAATACCTTGATCCTCCAATACTTGTATTTTTTATAGGTCCACATACATCTGAATGGACAATCTCCAGCAACTTGGTAGCACATGTTGCTACACTCCTTGGAAATGAGGCCTTTTGTTGTTTGCTTTGTATGCATCCTTCACATGCAAGTTGTTTTGTATTTTGGCTTGTATTTCCAAGATCTAAACCACTAATCATGGTCTTAAGCTCTTTCATGCTCTTCACATTCAAATGGCCAAGGCAATGATTCCATATATTCAACTTCTCTTCATTTGATGTAAACTCAGTAAATACACCTACCTCCACTCTATTCACCTTTTTACAAATGAGGTAGTACAAATTTCCGTCTTTTAAGCCTTTGAAGACCTTATCTCCAGTCAATGATCTTACAAAACATCCATTCATGTCAAATTAAACTTTAAAACCTTCTATTACAAGTTTATTCACCGAAAGAAGGTTTTGCTTCATCTTAGGCACATGAAGGACGTTTTTGAGTCTGATCCTATTGGTTTGTCCATTCACAACCACCTCCACCATAATAGAGCCAATTCCAATGGCTTCACATGTATCACTATCTGCCAACACCACGTTTGATGCTGGAATAGCTTCATAAGTATCAAATGAACACTTATAAGGTGTCATATGCTTGGAACAACTTGAATCCACAATCCATCTTGATATGGCAGCCATAGAGGTCCCAGTTATTGCCGTGAATGCATAATCTTGTCCTCCAAACTCATCTTCTACACTATTTGCATTTTCCTTCTTCATCTTTTTGCCTTTGTAGCAATTTCGAGCAAAATGGCCTATTTTGCCACAAATGAAGCAAGATTTGACATTACCTCATTGATTTGGATAGTTGCCCTTGCCTTGACGTGAATACAATGCTGAAACTTCACTTTGGGGCTCCTTTTCTTTTTTCTTGGTTACTTCATGGGCAAGTCTTGCTGTCACATAATCCATTGTAAGTTCTTTTATCTTGATGGACTTCAATGCCACAATAAGGTAGTTGTAGGATTCAGGAAGGCTCATTAGTAAGGTCATGACAATATCACTTTCTTCTAAAGGCTTGTCAACAATTGCTAGTTGGTTTGCAAGAGCCTTTACCTTATTAACATGAGCCATGAGGTCTTCACCTTCTTCCATCTTCCAAGTAAAGAACTTCCTCCTTGTATAAATGATGTTGAATAAGTTCTTGCTCTCATAGATGTTGCAAAGAGTCTCCCATGCTTCCGCTGGTTCTTTGCAAGAGATAATGTGAAAGAAGTTGGCTTCATCCACATTTGTTGCAATTAACCCAAAAGCCTTCTTTTCAAGATGTTTGAACTCCTTCTTCTCTTTCATATCAACATCTTTGCTTGGAACCTCTTCACTTTCATCTACAATATCCCAAAGATCCAAAGATGCCAACAAAAGCTCCATTTTGACCTTCCAATGGTAGAAATTTTCACCTCTAAACTTCTCAATAACTCTCAAGCCTTCACCCTCACTTGAAGCCATGTCTAAAGCAGAGTTGTATCAACAAAGGTTGTAAGAGGAAGTCCTAATGTTCTTAAAATCAGCAAGAAGGTTTAGCTGCCTTAGAATCACAGAATCCTTCTTTGTGAACAAACTAGTATTTTTACTCTCAAAAACACTCTCAACTTCACTTCTAAGGCTTCTCACAAGTCTAGTCACCTTTCCAAATCTAAATTGTCACTCTAATATCTTTCTTATATTCACAAGTCACCTCTATATACCAAAAGAGGCGTATAAAGCAAAATAAGCAACTTTATGTGATAAATCAACCATCAACACCAAAATGCTCTTAACCACAAGTAAGAGCAAACCAAGATCTAGATCTAGATCTGAATTTGAAAGTTATGTACTTTTAATGCCTAACATCAGCAACAACTTGATCTACTCCATACTTACAAAATAAAATACTTCAAAGACTTCAAAAGACACTCAAGCAAATATGAGTGGACTCATAACCTATTGAAGAAAAAAGAAGTCTAAAGACTACAAACACTTAGCATCAGCAAGTATTGTACTCTAATAGAAGTGTGGAAGAAGATAATTCTTACTTCCAACACTCTTTACTTATATGTGGTAGTTTGCTTACCAACGAGGCAACTTCTCTCCATTTGATATTACATCTGTTTCTACCTCTTCTTGGTAAAGCCTCGGTACTACTATAATAACTTATTTTACCTCTTTGCTACTTTTTTACTATTAACAACATATTATGCTTTAACTTTATGTGGTTGTAACTAAGCAAGTACTTGCTGTTCTTCAACAATAACAAATTCAATTAGGCAAAACACGCACAAGGAAACTATGTTCGTAATGATACATTAAATATTTTATGAAGAATTGCATACGGCTTGACTGCTAATGCTAATCTATAATGGTAGATATGTTATCCTTTCAGAAACTTGATATGTTTACAAATCTCAAGGGGTTAGAAGTGTATGCTCATACACCTTTCTTTGTAGATACCAAAGCCTTCTTGTCTAAACAAATCCGCCATCGTTAGGTAAGCACGTACTACAAGAACTGCTTAAATGATGTAAACCTGCCATTGTTTAATACACTTGAAATTTCCCCTCACAATGCAGCAAAATGTCACGTACTACAAAGGTTTACATAAGTCCACACAGCACGCGTCTCACACACTAGTTTTGGAACAGTACCAAAAACTGCAACGAATTTAGTATCGACGTCGATATCTCATATTGTACAATAAACGCCATAAAATACGTCGTGCATACATGCGACTTATCTCCTCACATGCATACTTATACAAGAACCGTACTGAAAACCAGTATGATACGGATAAGCTACATTCTCGTGCAAGACTCGAACCCAATCCACTTCCACCGAAGGCTACAAAATAGAGCCGTCACCTACCGTTCATACCCAATTGTGCTATTAAACTGAATTCCCACGCAAATAGAAATGACACAAGGCTCTAGCCCAAGCACTTTGAGCCAAGAAATTAATTAAAGAACTCTATGCACTAACCTTACTGTCTTGTGGTGTAATGAAACTAGGAACCGGACTAATTATCAGGTTCAACAACACGAACAGCAATGAACTGTGGTGCTGTTTCTCTCCTCTGCATGAAGTGACATGATTCATGACCAGCGCGGTTGCAGTGGAGGCTACTTTAGCTGGCAATATTGGAAATGCTAAATAAAAAAAGGGCATCCTTACAACTCATCAGAGATTTTAATGCTGCGAATTTTGACAGGTATAAGAGGTTTTTCTTTGCCATCTGTATCCACCTTTTCAATTGCCTGCCAAAAAAACAGTTGAATATACTCTTTTCACATACAGCTGAGGATCGATGTGCTCTACTAAAAGGAGAAACAACAATGAATGGAGAAGAAATAAATAAGATAATAGTGTGGTGTTGAAACAAATAAATATATCTCTGTGGGTCACTGCAGGAGTTACCTGAACTACGTCCTGACCACGAAGTATGCGCCCAAACACCGTGTATTTACCGTCCAAATGAGGTGTCGCAACAGTTGTTACAAAGAACTGTGACCTATTTGTGTTTGGTTTGCCTATATTTGCCATAGATACAGTGAATGCTTCATGAGTCAACCTGCAACAAATGGCACTTCAGTTAAGTTCGTCTTTGAAGGGAAAAGCAGGAAGGAAAGACATGATTGTATCATCCATATCTCGAATTCAGAAGCTCATACAGGTTGCCACCAGAAAGGATGTCAAATGAATGCCCGCCAGAGTAAATGACTGTATGTAATGAGGTGCAAGCTTCATACTCGCTAAACTCGTCCTTGAAACTGGCGCCCCATTTTGACTCGCCACCTGTTCCATCGCCCTTAGGATCACCAGTCTGGATTATAAAGTTCTTGATGACACGATGAAATAGCAATCCATCGTAGTAGCCTTTCTTGCTGCACCAACACTCTCTTCGTTAATTATTTTCCTAAGCAAATGGATGTATATTATAAGCATCCAGAGCTTAGAATTGCATTGGGTTGACGATCCTATTCTTCTGTTGAACAAAGTGGGACACGAAGAGATCACCACACATGCAAAAGGTACAGTACCTGAGTGTGACAAAATTCTCCACAGCAAGAGGTGCATGGTTTCCAAAGAGCTCTATAATAAATACTCCCTTGGTAGTGTTCAGGGTCTGTTTTTACAACAAATCTACTAATGTAAGTGATACGCCTGTTCCTTTTACGTCCTAGCGCAAATTCTGTGGACTGAGGCTTTGGAGAACTAACAAAAAGACACAATTAGACAAGGCGCAGCACTTGGAAAGTATAAGTCCATATGAAAAACCAAGTTAGTGAGGTAGATTAGGTTTCTTGTATCAATCCAATCCAGTACACGCAACCCTGATCTAACTTCAACAATGAATCCGGGTTAACCAGACAAAGCCATGAATTAAGCAAAATAAATACTTATACAAAGATAAAACCTTGTTCGTACCTACGTCGTTCGGAATGTTTGTACCGATTCCAAGCTGGTTTCAGTAGCTGTATCCCACAGTTTAACAAAGCAAAGAAAGAGTGCGTTCTAAAGCAATTATGCAACAGATCTTGAGGGGAACATTTTACCGCATATCGTGGAAGAGGCTCCCCACTTCCCGTTGTTATGAACTTTTCAGGTGCCTTGTCAATGTCGTTTATATCAATCAGGCTACTCTCATTACTCCCGTCGCTACACCCAGACAATGCAGGACCAATAAGAGACGACAACAAAGCTATGAGAGACACAAAGTTTCAATAATACGTCCGAAAACTACAAAACAAAATGAAATGGACGTTTGGCACAGACACGGATCGGAAAGTCGCCATTCGAACACTGCGCAACTCACTTCAATGGGAAATCCCCTCGCAGATCATTTCCTCACCTAGATTTGCGTCTATGCAGCACTACAGCCGATGCAAGCAAGAGGATGACAACTACACCAACAATCACGATGGTAGCCACATTTAGCTTCGCCGGAACCTTCTTTTTTTTACTCTTCTCCAACAACTGAGCCGGCTTCATGCGCCCCATTTCGTCAGATCTAGCCCGAAGCCTTCGAACCCCGCACCAAACAAACAAAATGCGACACTGTAATTTTAAAAATCAAATTAAATCTATGCTCCCTAAATCACCCACCTTGAAACCCACTAACCCTAAGGTTCAGAAATCCATTAGTGATCACCACGAGCTCTAAAAAACGCCCTCAACTCACATATCAAAGGCTTACAAGCATTGATAATCCTGCGGATGGCCTCTATGCTCCAAGGTATTGGCAGAGGCCAGCTGTGAGATGAGAGAGACGTGGTCAGTCCGAAAGTTTGTACACTACCATAATTGAACTCTCATAATAGACACTCTGCCTGACTGCACAGCCCTGCAATTGGCGAACATTACTAGATACCCTTCCATTTGAGGGTTGATGACAATTTTCTACCATCCCCGGCCCTCTTCCATCCCCTGTGGGTATCAACCACTCCGCTTCCCCAGCTTCATTTGTCTTGGATGAATCCCCATGCTTGACTTGTTCAGAGCAGCCAACAGGTCTCAGGAAATGACCTATGTTTGCAATAAGAAAACAAAGTTGCACTTTAAATACATTCAAGTAGCATTAGTTATTTATTTTTATTTATTTAATCTAAGTTAAGACTACATAGGACCACATTGCAAGCTCTTGAGAGCATTAAATGTAGTAAGCGCTCTCCATGCTATATATTGTAGTCTACATTATTTATTATAGCTATAGTGTTTGGAATGTAGTGGGGAGAAATTGTTTATCTTCTCCCTTCTCTTTGTATCTCAACACGTTATCAACACAATTATTCTTATGTCCTAGTCTTGGTTCTTAAAAACTTATGTATACTTTATCCTTTGTTTTCTCCTATATTATTGTTGCTACTACTATTGCTGTCATGTGTTATTGTTGCTACTATTGTTGTTGTCATGTATTGCTACTGCTGCTATATTACCACACCATGCCGCCAATAGCTGCCAATTGCTGCAAGCTACCATTGGATTGCCATACCTTGCCGCCATCTATTGCACCTTGCCACCAAACTGTTGTACCCTACCATAGTCTATTATAAACCCTTATTTTTGTAAAAAAAAAAAAAAAAAAAAAAAAAAAACTCCTAATATTTTTAATATTTTTTATTTCAAGTTTTAACTTTATCATTTTATTTGAATTTATATTTTAAGGTGCATTTTATTCAACCTTTTCTACTTATATTTTTGTTCACAGATTTATTTATAATGAGTGTTTCAACATCCTCAACTACCTCTATTATATTTTCAACTATCACCACTACATCACAAAATTTTCAAGCTCTTCTATTTTCATCATTGATTGCTAATGGAAATAATTATCTATTATGGAAAAAAATAGCAAAAGTAAATTTATTTGTAGAATAACTCTCAGATGTAATTTTCTTTAAAAAATCTCCTATTATAAGTACTTCAATTTTCATTGTTATTCATTGGAAAATACTTCTTCTTCTTTGTCAACATCTTGTACTTGCATTACAACATCAATATTTTAAAATGGAAGATCCAATCAAGCTCTGGGAGAATCTTAAATCTAAGTTTGATCATCAAAAGACCATTTTGCTTCCATGTGCATGTCATGATTGGTCATATTTACATATCTTGGATTTTCTAAATTTAAATGCTTTCAACAATGAAATATATTGTATTGTTTTACAATTATGTTTATATAGATAAAACATCTCTAAAGAAGAAATGATTGAAAAAACTCTTTTTATATTTCTTCCTCCATCTGTTGTGCTTGCACAACAATGTAAGAATATGAAATTTCAAAGTCATCCTGATCTTATGTTCTATCTATTTCTTATGAAGAAACAAAATGAGCTACTCTTGCGTAATGCAGAAGCTCATTCTAGTCGAACCTTAGTTCTAAAATCTCATGCACTTAATATTCCAAAGTCTAAGAAATAATTATATAAATATGGAAAAAATACTCATAAGTACTATAACAGTCATAATCATGACTATTTGTGCCCATATAGAAAGAATAAACGTTCTACAACTAATTACAGTAGAAAAAAAAATTAGAGATGCATTCTTGCTATAAATGTGGAATGATTGGACATTTGGCACATGTGTGCTATACTTAAGAATACTTTATTAAAATATTCCAATAAAATAAGAAACTTTAAGCTGAAGCTCGTAAAGTACATATCATGAATGTGTCCATGGATTCAATTGGTGTTGATGATTTAGAGGCTTATATGAATGACCAAACCTTTAATGATGAGTCAAATGATGCACTCATTGATTTTGCAACAATACATATTATCCTATAGGATAGTCAATTTTTTATTGAAAAATCTTCAACCTGGCAAATTGGAAATTTGATAACTATGGCAAGAATAAATACATTTTGTTTTTAAGAAGGAATAACAATGGTAAAATTATCTATGGGCTCTATCATAAAATATAAATATGCAATGTTTGCATCCTCAACACCTTAGAATTTGATTAGTTACCAAGATGTGCATGTCAATGGTTATCATCTCTCAACCATAATTTTAGATAGGCAAGAATTTTTGGTTCTTGAACAGAATCATAAAGTTGTAAAAAAAGCCTTTGCTATAGCAAATAGTTTATACTACATTGCAATCTGGCCTCTTATTATATTTAATTTTACATCATCTATTATAGAGAGTCACGTTTCTCTCCAACATGGATGATTGAGATATCCAAGATCTATATTATTTTGGAAGATAATTCCATGTATAATTGGATACAATTTAAGACCTGCAGATGCAGCTTCTATGGAATTATGTCGTGCATGTATACAAGGCAAGATGATTTTTTAGCCATCAATTTCAAAATTTCCACAAGAATTACCACCAATGCTTGAAAGGTTGCATGGTGATATTTGTGGTCCTATTAATCCAATATCTAGACTATTTCATTATTATTTTTATTTTTTTTAATTTTTGTTGATGCATCAAGCAAACAATCATATATTTCATTATTATCAATCTAAAATATGGTATTTGCCAATTTTATATCTATGCTTATTTGTTTTCAAACATATTTTCCTAATTATCCTATCAAAACATTGTATAAGGATAATGTAAAAGAATTTACATCAAAATTCTTTGAAAACTATTGTACTACAATAGGAATTGAATTGATATATTATATTTTATATGAATATACTAAAAATAGACTTATATAGTTATTTATAAAGTATATATAATTCATTATCTAGCCACTTCTTCTTTAAATAAATTTACTTGCATCTATGTGGGATTAGGTAGTTTTGCATGTTACAGCATTAATATGCCTCTGTCCTTCTTCTCTTGAAATTATTATACCACAAGAATTTATTTCAAGTTCTATTCGAAATATATCTCACCTACGGATGTTTTGTTGTTGTGCTTGGATTCCAATACCAAAACCTCAACGGTGTACTATTGAAGCTCATCAATAAGAAGGCATATATATATATATATATATATATTGGTTTTGATTCATCAAGCATTATTCATATTGATGATCCATCAGTTGACACATTATTACATGCACATTTTTAAAATTATCATTTTGAAAAGAACGTATTTCCATGTCTTCAAAGAAGAGTATTTAATCAACAAAGAAATACAATATTTGTATTTAGAGCATTAGAAACATTTACAATGAATCTTGATCTTTAAACATCTTTGGCTGAAAGTAAAGTTGCAAAGATTTCGTATTTAAAATGAATTACAAATAAAACACTTGTTGGTTTTAATGATCTGCCTCAGATTACAAGAATTCTAATCAATGAGGCTCAAAATGAACTTCCTTAGATTACAATACCAATAACAAATATACCTCAGGTTAAAATATCAACAATTAAAAGGACTCATAGATCAGATAAGCAACCACGAAAGAAGAAAGCTATAATATGTGGTGATTCTAGTATTATTTCTATGGAAGTTCTTACTAAACCTACAGGACCATCAATTAATGACAATATATCCATGTACATTATATCTTCACCTCATGCAATAGAAAATCTTGAAATTAGGAAGAATAAAATCAAGTTGAGTAGAAAATTATCTATTCAATATTATGCTACAAATGACCTTTGAGATAGACTATCTATTATAATATATGAATCATTTACTTTCATGATTGAAAAAGCTCTTTCTTAGAAGGAAGAGGATCCTGAACCTCAAACTATTCAGAAAGTAATACATCGCTCCAACTAGTTAAAATCAAAAAGTACTATTAAAGAAGAGTATGCTTCTTTGCATAAAAAAAAAAGTCTTTAGTCTAACTATGGACATTCTTACTTCTCGCTTTGAGGAATATAAGATGGTATTACTATACAAGTAAAATACTACGGATCAAATAATCTACTATAAAGCTCGCCTTATTGCTCAAGGATTTATCCAATAGTTTGGCATTAATTATGAATCCATATATTTTCCAGTCATGGATTCAATTATATTTTGATATATTATTGGAATGGCAGTTCATGCCACCCTTGAAGTGTGTCTCATCAATGTGATAATTGTGTATTTGTATAGTTCCCTTGATGTAGATATTTATATAAAAGTTCTACTTGATTTAGAAATAAGAACTCCAAATGTACTTGCTTTAAGATAATATCATGGTATTAAATTACATAAGGCCCTGTATAGTCTAAAACAATCTAGATGTATGTGATATCAATGTCTTTGAGATTATTTAATTATAAATAAGTTTATAAGTGATCCATTAATCTCTTATTTTCTTATTAAATGAAATAAAATTGGTTTTGTAATCATTACTGTACATATTGATGATTTTAACCTAGTGGCTACTAGATCTGCATGTGTTGCAGCTACTATTCTATTTATCCATGAATTTGAGATGAAAATGCTAGGAAAAATAACTTTCTGCATTGGTCTTTAGATTATATATCTCATAGATGATAGCATTTTTTCCTACCAAATAACATATATTAGACAAATCTTACGGAGATTCAATATGATTGATGCTTATCCATTGTCCACACCAATGGTTAGAGGTGGTCGTGATGGTCATCATCCATACCGTTCGTGCAAGGAGGAAGAAGAAATATTGAGAGAATAATATCCATATCTTATAGCAATTGGATCACTTTCATATTTAGTCACATCTACAAGATCAGATATTATATTTGCAATTAGTGTTCTTGTAAGACATAGTGCAATTCCAATACTATGATATTAAAATGGTATCAAATATTTACTACATTATTTAAAAAGCACTGAAGATTTGAAATTATACTACATATGATCTGCAAGTAAGTCTGCAATAGTTGCACAAACGAATAAAATGTGACTTCCAACTTTCAAT